GGGGCCACGTAAAGAATAAAGGTTTCCCTGAGCGCCGCGGAGTGAGGATTGAAGGATTTATTTCCTGGCTTCGCCCAGAGGGGAAGGGGCAGCTCCCTCCTCTTCCTTTTCCTGGTGCTGCGCGGCAGCGGACAGCTGCATCCCGCGGGYAGCGGGATGCGGCTCCGCAGCAGGGCCCGGGCACAGAGTCATGGCGCGGCTGCGGTTCAGACCTCCCCGGAGAAGATGGGAGCTCATTAAAAAAACAACGTTTGTTTCCACGCCTTAAAAATAAACGAATAACATGTCCACATCTGCTGCCGTGTGATAAAGCACTGCGTTTTTGTGTGGTTTTCTTCTTTTCCCCCTTATATTCAGTGGTGAGAGTGCAGGAGTAAAAGCAGGTGCGGAAAATGTCACTGGGCTTTCGCTGCCCTCCCCTGCCATGCAAAGCAAGGGCACCTACCTCGCCTTGCAGGGGGAATTAACTCACACCAGCCCATTAAACCATCTGCTGGAGAGGACCAAGGAAAGATCTGGATACGTGTCCTTTCATTTAGTTATTTATCTATTGCACAACTCAGATAAAGCTTGGAAAACTGTAAAAWCTGACACAGAGCAGCCTCGATGATTTAGAGTTACTAAACAGGTCCGGTTTCACAACCAATTGATTTGTGGGGAAAATTAAAAGATTTTTTGAGGCATAGCAAGCGCYGGCTAAGAAACTGCCTTGTGTGGGGTTTGCTATGTTTTAATCATGATTTCCAGTTAGAGAATTCACATTTGCTCTGGTTTGGTGTGTGTGTCACAGCATTCTCTTGGAGCTGTGTTGCCAAACCACAGTTATTCATAATATTCCATTACTCGAGCATTTTCTTAAAGAGGGGAAAGTTGACAGATCTCTTTCAGCACTGCATATCTGCTGACCTTTGGCTCTGCAAGATCCCGGAGGGCTGAAGCTTTTGGTGACTTGGTCACATAAGTGCAAGTACCGACATTCACTGCACAGCCACATCTGTGGGAGCACTGCAGTAAAACACAAATCTTGTGACTCCGCCGTCGGTAAAAGCCATGTATTTTCTTCCTTTGAAAGCCCAGATAAAAGCCTAAACTGCTGTTTTACTTGCACCATTTCCTCTGTTCTTTCTGCCTTGTGATTTTTGCTTCTATAATCTATATACAAGCTACTCTTTTGTGGAACATGGCCTTAATTCGCAGAATTTCTTTAGTGGTGAAGGCCGGCAATTTCAGTAATTGCTTAATTACTTAATACTTAATCCTAACAAAATTACTTAATATTTCTGGAAAACTAATGCTAAAGTAATTTCGGCACAGTGTTCGGGACTGTGTTTTCTCCACAATTCCTACTGATTTTAAAACTTACTGGCACAATAAAATAAATTGGAGTAACTGAATCTGTGATAATAAAGGGAAGYTGATACTTGGATTTTCCTCTTTTCTTGAGGAGAACCAAGTGTTTTAAATACCAAATGGTTGTTTTTAATAGAATGGCTAGTTTCAAACCTAGTAAAATAATTGGTGCTTTTTGAATGTAAGAATCAATAACAGAGGAGTGAGAACAAGAACTYGCCCTAGTTTTCTAATTATTTAATTTTCTGTGGTTTTTTTTTCACTATTTTAGGCCAATATTCCAGCATACCAACTGCTTTCAACTATAAAAATAAAATAATTTCCTTTGTTATCTGAACAGAGCTTCTGTGATGACTGAAGTAATAGAATCACTGTATGTAACAATTATCTGTGCTAGGATACAGCCACTTTCTCTGGAGCATAAATGGGAACAGTTAATATCAGACTGATTAATCTCCATGAATATCAGAACATACAAGAAGAGTAATGAAATTATTGCAACACTGACCCCTCTTCTCTCTATTATATGTCCATTGGCACCTGCCAATGAGTCATCACTCTGCACAGTTTTGTGACTGCTATAGAGATACTGGAATTGGAGAATTATAAGCAAATAGAAGTTAGTCTTACAAAGTGATCAAAAATTTATTACCTTTTTATTTGAATTTTGAGAAATTAAATTTTGCACACTTTAGAGCAAAAGGTTACCTATCTGGTATCATAGATGCTGCTGTGACAGTGTGATGGCTGTAATGTCTTTSCAGCAAACTGGAATGTCCTTGCCAGCTGGCATTATCTTCTGTGCAATGAAGAGATATGAATTAAAAATAAATGTAAATTCAAAATAGCCATATATTATACACTTTGTATGATTGCTACTTAAATACACAGTTCATGAATAAACTACATAGAATCACAGAATGCTTAAGATTGGAAGGGACCTTTACAGATCGTCTGGTCCAACCCCCCTGCACACACAGGGTCACCTAGAGCAAGGGGCACAGGCTGCATCCAAGCGGGTTTTGAAGATCTCCAGAGAAAGAGACACCACAGTCTCTCTGGGCAGCCTGTTGCAGGGCTCTGTCACCCTCACTGTTAAGATTTTTTTCCTCAAGTTCCTGCAGAACTTTTGGTGCTTCAATTTGTGGCCATTTCCTCTAGTTCTATCAGTGGCCACCACTGAAAAGAGGCCAGCCCCAWCCTCACTCCTTCCTTTGAGGTATTTATAGACACTGATCAGGTCCCCCCTCAGCCTTCTCTTCTCCAGGCTGAACAGGCCCAGCTCTCTCAACCTTTCCTCATAGGGCAGATGTTCCAATTTTCCAGATCTGCCAAATACCTAAAATATAAATCTATACAGTGCCCATAGTTTTCAATTTGCCAAATACCTAAAATATAAATCTATACAGTGCCCATAGTTTTCAATTTTGTGCTGATACAGAACTGTAAATGGTTTCTAAAATTCATCACACAATGCACTGTAATATGTTGTGCTGAGAATTTCTGGATTTTTTCCTTTAATTGTGAGCTGTTTACACACTAGTATGGGAATAGTTGGCCTTGATCTGAGCCAAGTTCAACAGATTACAAGCCCTTTCTCAGATAAATACCTTACTCCTGATGTACTTGCAAAGTTTCTATTGACTTTAATGTAATCACTTACATAAGGAGGGCAGTACACTCACAGCATGAGTTCACAACACCAAGGCAAAACAATCACAAATTAGACTTTTTCATCAGGAAAGGGGGATCCCTGGTATGAGCAGAAAATTACTGCTTAATGTCCTGTATTAGAAAACTKACTGGCTATGATCATAGTCAAGCAAGCACGTCCGAGCCAGGCAGAAGTTTCCACATTTAACGTGACTCATGTGGTGTCTTGTTCAGGCACTATTACTACACATGTTAAGTCCGTTCCTGTGGGCTGGCATGRTGGTACTGAGTTGGTTCCAGTAGTTTTGGTCCTAACAAGGTACCCTGCTGGAGACAGACATGTTACAAGAGCAAAAGGGAGGACAGGAGAGGAAATATGAAGGTGCTGCTGTATCATCAGCCTGCACCATAAGCCATGAGGTGCACGGAGGCATTACTGCACCTGTAGCCTTCCTTCCCTTCATCTGCCTTTAGGGAAATATGCTCCTGCTGTTGTAAATTTGAATCCTGCACAACCTCTTGCAGGTTCTGAGAATCTCTCTGTAAGGGATTCCATATTTTCTTAACAGTTCCATCGATAGCTTACTGATCACAAACAGTTCAGAATTACAAGAGCTACATGGTTTTAAACATAATACAGCTCCAGAAAGAGGTGTAAACAAGTTGTTTTCCCTTTGCGGATAGAGATAGAGAGGGAAAAGGCCAAAGATAGACAAGGCCACTATCAGATCACTATCATAAGGAAGCCTGACGTGTGTTTTTAATTTAGATGTTTGGCAAAAGTTTGGTGTTCTGTGTTAAAATACAGAAATCTCTCAGTCTGCAGTTTCTGGAATTCTTTAGAAAGGCCTGCAAAGAAGGACTTGGCAACACTGCTCCGAGCAGCACACTCAACCTCAGCCCTGGTGGTGACACGCCACGGGGCATGGACCCTGATATCTACTGCGGCAATTCAGAGGCAATAATCCTGGCAAGGAAGAGCTGGCAAGGACCATGTGTGACTACGTGGCCCTGAGGATCATGGTGAGGGCCCTGGAGGCCCACGTGGCCTTCTCCTCAAGCCTGCAAGTAAACGGGAAAGGCCTGAGGAGGATGGAACAGACCATGTGGGTCAAGAACTCCTTGTGCAGCTGCTTTCAACAGAGGTGTTTCACTTTCTGCAGCCGTGGAGCACTCTGCAAGGAGAGGTTCCCAAGGACTGGAAACAGCAAATGTCAGCCCGTCTTTAAGAAGCAAATGGAGGAACCGGAAAACTGAAGGTTCTCCTGATCCCTGATCCCTGGGGAAGTAACTAATCCTCGATATTATTCCCTGACCTATGAGAGGCAGAAAGGGGATTGGGGAAGCCAGCTTGGATTTACAAAGCAGAAGTCAGCTACTGTCTAGCTACTGTCTAGCCTGGAGAAAAAGAGTCTCAGGGAACTTTTATCAATGTGTATGAATATCTGATGGGAGGGTGCAAAGAATCTGGAGCCAGACTTTTCTCACTTGTGCCCAGGGTCAGAATGGGCACAAACGGAAACACAGGAAATTCCATCTGAGCACAAGAAAACCCTTCTTCACACAGTGCAGCCCGTGCTAACTGACCTTGCTTGAGCAGCACTGGGAAGGGTGGACAAGAGATTCTCTAGAGGTCCTTGTCATCCAACTGTTAYGTGCTTCTGCAATGCCCGTGGAGTAAATTTAAAAAGAGGCCATCTGCCTTTAAAGGTGAATGTGGGGAAGGGCTTTTAACCAAAGGAATTGAAAAAGAAATCTGCCTTTCAAGAGGGACTGCTTTTTGAAGAGGTGACTTCATTTGAAAACAAGTTCTCATCTTCCRTTTTAAACCTCTTCAGATACTATCAGGCCTTTGCAACATCACAGCAATCTTTTAAAAAGTAAATCTCTTAGGTCTAAAACACCAACTGAAGGCACAAGGGCAGTGTTTCTTTGTTTTGCCAAACAAAAAAAAAAAAAAAAAAAAGGAGAACATTATGCAATGTTGTAAACAAAGAAGTTGCAGCAGTGAGATTGCCAAACAAAAGCTTTCACTTGGAACGGCCCTTTTTTCTTTCGTTCATTCTTTTTTTTTTTTTTTTTCCCCAGTCATGAGTTCATAGCACAAGATAATTTAGTTCAGTATTTAGGCACATAAATAAATGTTTTAGAAGTACCAGAAACACCATCCCTAGAAATAACATTCAAAGCTGTTCTAGGTACCCTGCATCTTTTATATAGGTGAATTTAGTTACCTGATGCTAGCCATAAAAATCAAACATTTAAGTCAAACATCMAAGTTAAAAGTATGTTAAATTACCACACACATTCCAAAATCTCTAATGCTAAAACATCTAAACCCAACTGTGAGAATCCCGAGGGTTTATTTTTTATTACACATTCATCTGCTTAGCAGTCCCTGCCTTTGTTAYAATCATCTGCAGATGAGGACACTTGCTGGGAAGTAATGTTACAATGGAAGATTTCATTAGGAAACCATGAAAACCATTTGCAATTAACCCTAAGAAGTGATTTGAAAATTCATGTTCTCTGTCTTTCTCTCTTACTCACTGTAGAAAAAACAGTATTTCACTGTAGAAAAAACAGTATTTTACATAAACTGGGTCATTTCATCCTTGTGAGAGACTATCCTGCTAGGGAAAGCAAGGAATTCAGCTCTTCAAGATACAACAGCGTTGCAGATAGAAGCTCACACGTTCACTTCATGCAGTTTCAGTGTGTAACTTATCTGCTCTTGCTCCAGGGATGAGGGTGTAAGGAGAGTAGGAGCAAGCCTTAGATGCACTGAATCACCATTGAGATGACTCCCTCTTCTTGGTTATGCAGAATTTTCCCCAAAACTTAGTCAAAGTTGAGTGCCAAAAGTTGCAYGGTGAATATCTCACTGCTCGTCTATCTGGAGAGAGGAGGCACAGAAGAGGACATGCTGCTGAGCAGAAGTGTAACTCCTCCCTTTAARTCTTCCTTGAGACTTTCTGAGTCTTGGAGCTGCGAAACAGTAAGAATAGGAACAAACAAGAACAGTAGCAAGAAGAGTCCAGAAAGACAAAGTAAAGTCAGATAACCTTCCCTCACATCTCCCAGGAAGCCTTCCCTTAGGGAGGAAGATAAAACTGGAAGTGAAGTTAGCTCACATCCCTTCAGACATGCAAGCAAAGTTGTATGTATTTTTGTCACGGTCCTTCCTGTTCCTGTGATTAGAGAGAGAGGAAGAGCTGGGCAAACTGGAAAGCCAGGCTTGCTACTTCTCCTGCAGCTGGCAGCCTGGCAGGAGGGTGAGGGCTGTGACTTCAGCCTGAAAGGCATTTGCACAAGCAAAATAGGCACCACGGCTGTTTTGTCTTACCAGGTAGTGCACTGCCTTGGTTGGCTTTGMTACCGAGATCTAGCGCTGATCTGAGGAGGAAGGAAAATTTCCTCCTCATGGCAGGAAAAAACTCAGGTAGTGCATTTAGTTTTAGGGGCAGGACTGTAACTGTTTTATGTTAGCAACACAAGCTACTCTGAAGAATATCTTGTGTAATACTTTCCGAACAAAGGAGCATGAGATGCGGTTCTACTGAAGAATGGCTATTAAAAAAAGTTACCAAAAAAGGGAAATCTTTTTTTTTTCTTCCTATCTAATGCTTCAGTTCCTGAAACACTGAGGAAGTCTCTTTGTTCTATATTTACTTGACTTTAGTTGCTTCACAAAGAAGCAACTAAACTTCAAAAAACTCATCCTGATGCCCTTTAGAAATGAATACTAATGTCTTGTAGTTCTCTGAGCATATGACAAACTCCAACCCACAGCCCAGGGTCTGAAAGCTTTCAGATGTGGACAGCCAAGGCACAGTATTAAACATCTATGAAGAGAAAACTGATTCTTTATATCACGGTAACTTAAAAGTTCTTTTTGGCATTAGGACGGGAATAAACTGGAAAATAATGTTGCTTTTCTGGGATTCTACAAGCCACTTGCATATGCAGACTCAATAAATCAAATATAAAGAAAAGAGCAGTCTTTTCTTTTAGGTACAGATATTGCTGTGGAAGAATAAGCATAAAGCTGATATACAGAAAATACCAAGCTCCTGGAGTCCTGTGTTAGAAAAACAAAAGTTGAAGGCATTTGCTTATATCACAGCTGACATGCCTCCCTTTTAGACATAGTATTAGCAAGCCAGAGACTTAAACTGTACTGCTTATTTTGCAAATGGGGACCCGCACTGGCTGAAGCAATGCTCCCTGCTTCCCAAAACCCCAGAGAGCGGCACAGGGTGCCCATGGCTCGCCCTAAGAGCCACGCACTGGGTGCCGCGGGTCTCGGGTGAGAGCCGGCAGGGAAATGGCCGTGGCTGAGGCAGGAGRGTGGCACCGTCAGAGCCCCTTCCTCCCCGCTAGCCCTCCTGGGGAGCCTTCCATGCCCGTGGGCTCCCTGTGCTGCCACTGTGGGACCCTCCATGGGGCAGCCGGGCTCGGGGAGCAG